TATGGCGCGCACCATCGATTTCACGTATTCTGTAGGCATTCCCTCCTTAAACCTATTCGATATGGTTCAAGGAACTCCAAATTCACCTAACGTTCCACGTCCCTCTGCAATGGGCAATGAAACGCGGTTCAGGCCTCAAATCGGTCTAACGCTATATGTTCTCTTTAAAATGGTTCGTGAACGGATGAATGGGCCAGTGATTGGCCTTACGTTACGCCCACTCAACAAGATGTCTCGAAGATCATGAATTCACCCTCTTAGGGCTAGTAAGTCGGGAAATGAGTTCTCATTGAAAAAAATTTAGGCCCTGGGATAACCTGAAGGAAGGCTGCTGATTGGGCCTAGACCTAACTTTAGTGTGTCTCATGTGAGTCAAGGAAAGGGGGAGGTTGAAAAATGAAAGCCATTGGAAATTGGTTTTTCGCATGAGTTCATGATCACTAATGTTCGAAGGGAAAATTTATACGGGACCGCAAATTTGATTATGATACGTAAAGCTTCTTGTAGAATGGCACTCCAAAATTCTGCGAGGTTCGTCAGATTTTGACCTTCAGATTTCGTTAAGCACGCGATTTAGGAAAACCCATACCCACACTCAATCTACAGGATTGAGATCTGGACATGGTGGGGGTCGGGCATGTGGAATATGACGGATGAGGATCCGATGCTAAAAGTGTTTGGGAAGGACTGCTTTTGCCTCGTGATGGATATGGGGAGGAAAACAATATTGTTGGAAGATCATCCGACCCATCCACTCTCTGCTTCCAAGTTTGGAATTCATCCAAAATGCGTGCCTATAGGAAAAAACCATTAACGGTCACGGTGTGGTATCCATTCAGATAGAGTTTCTAAAAGAAGTAGTGTCCAATAATGAACTTCGATGTGAAGCCATACGTGATAGTTTTTTTGCCGTGATGCAATGGGACATAGATCCCTACTAGCGGATTTTCGTCAGCCCAGAATCATTACTCCCCTTCTGATGATGACCTGACAAGAGAAATGCGTTTTCTCATTCTCATTGGCATCGTCTAATGTAATCCCGTGAAGAACCTCATGCTAGCGCTATTAAAGACAAGACGGTGACGAATGGCTCATGTCAAATCCCGGTTAAAAAGTTAGTGATACCATCTACCCCGCGAAAATCAACTAAATATGATTTTTCAGCTACCCTCATGGCATCATGACCACAAACAATGCCGTTCGCATGTACTGACGAAAATCCTCATGGCGTGATCATCTTTGGAAGACCCCACATTTATTTCTGTGGCATCACAACGTACTCTTTAATTGAACCCTTCTTCTTTTAGGAACCGGATCCAGATGGATCAGGTCACTGTGATCGTCAAAGACTTGCGTTAGTAACAGGTTTAGAATTTTCCCAATTCTCAAAGTTAAAAACAGGCAATGTATGGATCTGATCCTCATCCATCAAGATGGCACTCCTCCCGGAACACATCCTGAGGCGAAACCATTTCTTACCAACACTTAGGGAATATCCTATGCTTGCATGTGGACCTTTCATGGCCCCCTTGATCTATTAATTGACTCAAAGCATACTGTTTGCCACAAAGTTATGCAAATCTGTCATAACGACGTTTGCAGTGCCGTGTCAAATTTTCCATTATGGCTGGCCTCCGTTCCTGTAGCAGATGTTTATTACATATTTTTTATTATTGGAATTGCATTTTTATCGTCATCCTACGACAATTCTCATGGAAATGAAAAATGCCATCTGACAAGAAGTTCCGCAAATTCGTTGTAATCAACGGTGACGCTCTATGTCCAATTTTTCCTCATCTGCCCCTATTGAAGCCAATGATTGCCACAATGTTATTAAAATATTAGCAGGTTAACTATGTCCATACCAGTTTCCCCAACACAAAATATTTGAGTGGAATAATTAAAAGCCTGGAGCTAAACTATTGCCGGAATCCAACGATGCTAGAGCGGCCATGGTGTTACTATTCCGCCGATGCCGAATGGGAATACTGCGACATCCCCTTATGCCCCGGCTGCCAAGGTCTGCGATCATTTGGTCTGCGAGGATACTACAGAGGGTGATAAAAACTGTCGGAACGCTTTTTTTCCCAATATAAATCCACACGCATTTAGTCAAGTAAATGTGAAAAAAATCGATTTTGAAAAAGCGCTCGGAAATGATCACCCTAGAGAGAGAGCATTATTGAGGTTGTCTCTTTGTCTGGCTAGAATATTCCCTCCAAACTGCTCGAAAGTCATGTTGCTGATTTTCGGAACTGTATCTTCCTCATATCTCACACTGGTGGGAAGCTATATCTGGGTGAAACATCTGCTTACCTACAAGAGCTTTGAATGAGTCATTATGTGCAATGCTTTTCAACAGTTTGGAATTCCCCTTTGAGTCCCTTTTCGCAATTGTGTACTCGTTGAGCGAAACGGTTAAGTTGCGTCAATTCAAGGTCGGATCGTCGTCGCGAAGTGATTTTTTTAGTGTGAAGATGTAAACCCATAAGACTTTGCGAGCGTCAATGTTTATCTTTTAATGAACTAGTTTCTCACGAATGCCTGCTGACGAATAATGGGATGGAATACACGGGCACGGTGAACGTGACGAAGTCCGGGAAACGATGCCTAAGATGGAAATCCGGGCCCTGGGGAGATTTCTTTCGTGACGCACCCACCGAAATGAACTTCTGTCGGAATCCATTTTCAGCTGAGATGCCAGGGTGCTTCGTCGATGGCGATGACGGGAACATAACGGTGAAGGATTGTTCGATTCCCTATTGTGATACTCGAAGTGAGTGCCTATCTGGAAGTGACAATTATACCCATAGATAAAAGTAGTTGACATTCCACGGAAAAACAAACAAGTGCTTCGTTTCCAATTTACGATTCCCTTTCAATTTGCCAGATACGTAGATCAATTAACTATACGTATTCAATTTTGTGCACTCTACTACGCCAGAGGAAATAATTTTTTTTGCTGTGAGATCATAGAATTCTCATTTTCGATTCAACAAGACTGATCATCCGATTACTCCTCTAGGATCCAGGGAATGCACAACGTCTTCCTTCGGAACGGATTACATAGGCAAAAGGAACTGGACCATTTCTGGCGTAACATGCCTTCCGTGGACGAAACTCCTGGAATGGCATATAAACCTACCTCCGGCCTTCCCCATGGAAAACCACAACTACTGTCGGAGCATTGATTTCGTTCCATCGTGCTACATTCAAGTGTTCTTTCAATCAAACAACGCGGAGCAAAGTCAAATTCTTCGCGAATTTTGCCATGTGCGTTCCTGTTTTCGAGAAGAAATGGAGAAGATATGTGAGGCAGATGACTCATTCAAGTCGGGTGAGTGATATGGATTAAAATGTCAATACCAAATATGACCACCATGCGACGACTTCTCTTTCAGGCATCGCAAAATTCTGATTGCCGCGTTAATGCATTGATCGTCTCAAAACCTTGCGCTTTCAAAGTATCTTACATATTTTCAATGCTCATTTATACGGTATTTCTTTATACTAGTAAGATGCCGCTAGACAGCCAAGTAATGGATACTGGCCAATGCTTTTAAATATCACAGCCGTCGTTCGTGTAAGGACAGCACGAAGTTTAATTGGATCCAAAACGAATTCCTCTGCCAAGGATCCCTAATTCCAAAATATAATACATTATTCTCACACCAAGTTCAAATCTGAGTGCGGCAAGCGAAAAGTTTCTCAACCAAAGGTTCAAAATATAACACCTGCAAAATAAATCATTGCCCACCACAGAAAATTTCAATACATCCGCCTGTTCGTGCTCTAGCAGCCAATGTGTTGAAAATAGATCTCTGAAATTATGTAAACTGATTCCTTAGCATACATGGATGTGCCCTTCTATGAGAGAAAACTTGGTCCGACGTACCGTTTTGCTTACTTTCCTGAAAATTCTATCGTGCTTTAGGAAATAAAACTCAACCATGACGTCATGAAATCCGTCAAATAGATATCGACAAGGAAAATGAAAATGCAATCGGTGCACGAGGTCAGGATTCATATGTAAAGAAATGGATTATGGAATGATTGAGCAGCAGGCTTCCCATTTAGCATTTACTGCAAGAAACAAGGTTTCCACAAGAGAATGGTCATCGCGAATTAGCAGTCATGAGTAGCACCTACCTAGTAATATATGATTCGAAATTGATTTATTTCACTTCCAGACATATTCCTCCCAGACATTTTTTGCCTAGACATTTTCCGCATTTAGTACTAGCATAAAAAAATGGAGGCACTTACAAATGCGTCATTAAAGAAAAATTTAAATATATTTATTTGTAAGCTATCAATTGATGCGACATCATCGTGATTCTACCAAAGCCCATTCTCTCCACACTATACGAGGTCTGATCGAAAAAGATCTAAGACTTAATTTGTTATGACGCTGTGGTGACTCTTTCTGACTGCTGATGATTATATCCTTTAAACCAGTTCTCTTCGGCATCTACACAAATTTTCCAGCGTTTCTTCAGACGCTGGAAGCATTGCTGACACTCATCTTTAGGAGTCATCAACAGCGCTCGCGGCGCGTTTACAATTTTGCTTTGAATGCCTAAAATCTCCTTCATTTCAGCACATTCTTCAATTTAGGGGACACAAACACATTACTAGGAGCTAAACCCCGACGAGTTGGATGGCTGATGAAGCACGGGATTGAAAACTGTTGAACAACAGAAACAGTTGAAGTTGCAAAAGAAAGGAAATCTTAGAACATTTAAATCAGAATTACGAACGCGCCTCGAGCGCTGCTGGTGACTCAAAAAGATGAGTATCAGCAATGCTTCCAGTGGCTGAAGAAACCCTGGACAATTTGTGTTCATGCCGAGGAGGACTAGTTTAAAGTATATAACCATCAGCAGTCAGAAAGAGTCACCATAGCGTCATAAAAAATTAAGTCGTAGAACTTTTTGATCAAACCTCGTACTTTCATTACAGATGGAGTTGAGACATTGCAGATCTATCCAGAATGCCGAATGACGAGAATGGGGAAGGAGTACAGAGGGACTCATAGTCAAACACGAACTGGAAAGAATTGCGTGCATTGGAAAAAACTTCTCATTGGCAAAAAAATTGAAAATATTTTCGGAGAGCAGGTGATAAGAGGGGATTATTCCTTCATTGGAAGACCGCAGCACCTCTACGAAATCGTATCAAACCAGGACCTAAACTATTGTCGGAATCCAACGTCGGCCGAGGAGCCATGGTGCTTCGTTTCCGAATTATATGATGAATGGGAATTCTGCAACATCCCCTTCTGTCCTGGCCGCAAAGGTCTGCGATCCTTTGGTCTCCGAAGATATGCTAGGGAGAGAGCATTGTATGTGTTGTCTTATTTTCTGCCTAGTGTATTTTGCCATCCTGCTCGAAGTCATGATGCTGATACTGTAAATTTCTGGTATCACTCAATTTTATGGTGAGCTATATTGCTGAGCAAAAAAAAGACGAGTTGGTTCACCTGAGGAACAGAACAAGAGCAGCGGCTGTGGTTAGGTGTGTGAACAGAACTCGTTGGGTCCTGATAACCCGTAAAGTGTGGATTTCACTTTTTGATTGAAACTGTTTTTCCTAGAAATAGATGAACATACTTTCCTCGAATTTTTTTCCTCTGTACGTAAATCATGATGGAAGGGATTAGAAACGAGTGATCTCAAGACCTACTGGGAGGAATTCATTAATTAGCAATGACCTGGGTAGGTCATATCGATAGGAATACAATTAAGAAAGGAATTGTGATGTGATTTGTTGATATGATATTCATGATTTAAATTAAATTACAAATAAGGAAAACGTTTTCCAAATGGTTCACGTTACTCGGACACATGGAGAACATGAGATATGCTCCATTAATGCATTGACAATTGGAGATAGACGTGGGAATTCTTAACTTGCAAAAATAATTTATTACTATCACCCTTTTCAAAATTTGTATTTTAAGGTTACACTGAATGTGATAAATCGCGAAGAACCGTCTTAACATGAGTTTCATGAAGTTATTGGACTCAAGATACGAGAAGTACTCGATTTTAAACATGCGCTGAAGGATGGGAACCATGCTCATATTTTAATTTTCATAATGAATATCATTTTGGCTCTCACGATTTGCGACATGTCCCTCATGTCTAAGTCCCATGCCTCATGCCCATGCCACATGGACATTCCCAAGGCATGCCCATGTTTGAAGTCATAGATCACGCCATAGTATAGGTTACTCTTATAGTTGAAATATTCGTTTTTCCTTTCACTCTCAGAGCCCGTGGAATGCAAATTGACTAAAGAGGGATGGGAGTATGCAGGATTCAAGAACGTGGATGCACGTGGTCGTAAGTGTCAACCCTGGCTCACGTCAGACCCCAAGCGATTCCAAGTACTGAACTTCTTGGCATTGCCTGATCAACTCATGGACTATAGTAACAACTACTGTCGCAATCCTTTCACTGTCGGAACCTCAAATACACTCGCAGATTTTCTTGAAATGTCGAAAGCAAACGATCTCTGGTGCTTCACTGAAAAGGGAAGTGGCTTTGGATGGGGACAGTGCACGGTCCCATACTGCCATGAAGCGTATGAGCGCTCCGCTCTCGAAGGTATGCTTTCAGTTTGCTGCATATTTGTTTTCATATATTTTTCTCGTTTCTTGCATTCAATTTTGAAGATGAACTCTGACGTGCAAATATATATATTTCTAAATAGTCACCAAAGCCCAAAGAATGAAACATTTCACATTTCTAAGACCAATTCTCTTAAACTTTTCAAGCACTTCAGCAGGAAGTAACTAAGATTCAAGTGATTTCAAGACTTCCACGCCTAAAATGTGACAGGTAAACCGGCCCAGGGATACCCGGAATGTTTGCAGACCAAGATGGGGAAGGAATACGTGGGAACGACGAGGAAGACGGTGACTGGGAAGCCCTGCCTCCGATGGGACGCTGTTCCCTATGGAAAGCTTGACGATTTCGACCCGAAAATATCCTACGATGACCATTTCCGATTTGGCAATGCCGCATCTCATCAAGACTTCTGCAGGAACCCGACATTGAAGAATCAACCCTGGTGCTTCGTCGGCGATCCCAAAATAAAATGGGAATTCTGCGATATCTCCATGTGCCCCAACTACCCCAGTGAGTTCACTCCGGTCCACGAACAAATGTTCTATCTGTTGGTAATGGGTCATGCCAAGGTTGGAAAAGAGCAAAACCCTAATAGACACATCGGTATGATCCAAGAGAGTTTTTTTATGGTAAATAAATGTCATAATATCAGTTGTTTCTTGAAGTGGCCAAAAACGACTTAGGTGTAGCATTGGCTTGGACATGGAAATATTATTCAAGATGTTTCCCAATTTCGCAGTCGCCGATTGCAGGCCTTCTGAATTGAATTCCTAATGAAGCGCATTGTGACCTTCGATACTTCTTCAACAGAGGCGAATATGTTGCTGATATCAATAACATTTGAGTAATCCCATTAAACCTAAGGAGCGATAGTTTTCTCTTCCGAATCCTTTCAATCCGTAGAGATTGTTTTCTCATTGAGAAAACTGCATGCTTCATCAAATGCGACATAAGCCTTACGGGATAATACGTTTCATATTGAATGAATTACAGGAATATATATTTCAATGCGTCAAATTGTGTTTTCATTTGGTCTGCGTGTAATCTCTGGCTCATATGATGAGAATCATTTCTTTCTTTCTCATGAAGATAACGGATGTGCGGGGTTTCATTTTTCTCTCCATCAGACAAGACAGAATGCAAATGGACGCACAAGGGAGAGGAGTATGCAGGGACTCTCAACGTGACGGCGTCCGGGCGCCCGTGTCTGCCGTGGAGCGACTCCGGATTACTGGAAAGATTTTGGCCAAGGTTCCCAGAAGACGTGAGGAGCGAGAATCACAACTTCTGTCGAAATCCAACCGGGGGAAAGGATATGGCATATTGTTTTGTTGATTTTGGCGAAAAGGAAACCTGTGACATTCCATTCTGCCCCTTCCACTTCCTCTACTAAAGATGCCTCGTAGGAGAGGAAAGAAATGAGGCACTTCAAGTGTTCAAGTGTTTCATGAACTGTTTGTTGCATTCGATACTCACAGTTAGATGTAGGTATTTATATATTGGCGCACATCTAATATATATAGACGATCGTGACTGACTGACTGACGCTAATTCTAACCAAGTTGCATTCGATACTCGCAGTTAGATGTAGGTATTTATATATTGGCGCACATCTAATATATATAGACGATCGTGACTGACTGACTGACGCTAATTCTAACCATGTTCTAGAAGGGTAATAAATCTGAAACTTGGCACACATGCACCTTTTGAGATGCAGAGTTCAGAAAAAATCCGATTTTGGAGGTACATGCCCTGAAGGCACACATTTTGGGGGGAAACGTTTTTCTTCAACATATTTTGTGACAAATGAGGATGGCATTCAGAAAGACACGGTTGTGCTGGGTTCGGTGGTATAGTAGAAGAATCTTTGACAGGTAATTCGAAGGTCCGGGTTTAATTCAGGGCGGTTTTTCTTTTCGGTTTTTATGCCTTCCATGTCCCATTGCTCATTCCCCCACCATAACATTAATTTTGCTTAAGTAAAATGGAGAGACATAGAAAGCTGATACTTGACGTGGACGTGCCCACCGAGACAATGAGTTCAAGAAAAATGAAACATTTTAGATTCATGCCCTAGCGGCACATTTTTGTGAGCCGACGCTTTCAAGTATTTTTTTTTATCCTGGCGTATTGAGCTAGTGTGGAAAGATGAAACTGGGTACATAACTATCTATTGAGATTCTGTAGAAAACTTCAGCCTTTAGAAGTAAATGGCCTGGGGGCACAAATTTCAAAAAGAGATGATTTTAATTATTTTTTTGCATAAGTTAAACCGATGAACATGGAAAACTGAAAATTTACATGAATGTGACTACTGAGGCAAAGTGTTGGTTGAAAATCTTAAGTCTCGATACTTCCCTACTTAATACTCGATTCCCTAGGGGAATGTCATTGTGGAGCGATGTTTTGAAAAAAATTGTTGCGGCGAATTGGACATGAATGGAAAGGTGAAACTTGGCAAACGTATAAGTGACATGATATAACTGATCTAAGTTAGTATTCCGCTATCATAGGGCATCCCCTCCGGGCATAGCTTTTGGTTGGGTAGGTTTTTCCAAGCGTGCTTTTTCACCAGCAAAAAGAGCAAACGTATAATACTGAAATTTTGTGGGCATGTAGTTCACTGGGTAGAAATAGAAATGTAGCTGGTGCACACATCACTGACCTGATGCTGTATCCCTAGAGCACAGGTTTCTGGTGGGTCTCTTTTCTAAATACACTTTTTTCCTCAAGCAAAAAAGAGGAAATGTATAAGGCTAAAACTGGGTGATATGGAGTTCCCTGAGACTACATTTCAAAAGAAAAAAAAAATTCGTTAAAATCCATTAGGGCAATTTTTTTGTCCCATTTTCTTGATTTTTTTTTTATCCAACGAAACAGAGACAGAAAATTTAAACTTTCCTCAGAAATACCTATTTGATGGCTATGTAGAGGAAAAATCCTAATTTTCAAATATGTCTCCATAGCGTGGATTATTTAAGGGAAGTATCAATATATCAAAATGTATTATCCACCCGTACAAAAAGGACACCAGTTAGGCACTCAGAATCATAGAAGTAAAGATTTTTATGAAAATCAAGACTTTCTACTCCATGTGTCACGTATTCCAATAGGGACGTACTTTAATTACGTGTTTGCCATTTCGCAAAATATGAATGAATTAATCACAATCCAAGGTAATAGAACGCCGAAGTCGCGATCAGTATAGTATTTTATGCAGATCAGATATGTAGCAGATTTTAAGTAGATTACGTAGATTGTATGTAGATGTATATGTAGGTCAGACAAATTCTTATTTTGATTGCCTATTTTTGATTGGGTTTCGTTCTTTTCATGGGTAGCACCAAGGGTACGTAATTGATAGATTTTGCTTTCATCAATGTTATAGTTTTATTTGAAGGCTATTTTCGAGCACAACTGGAGTGACGACAGTGTGAATGCACGCACCGAAGATAAACTTGTCACACCCTAATTTAATATTCCTTTAGAAAAACGGTCACAATAAATCATGGCTTACCCGAGGTGACCTGACGATCCTTGGAAATAAAACCATTCCTGAGTGTTGCAGCATCTTGTCGAAACTTTCTTGTGATACCCGTGTGTTGATGGTGTTGTCCTCGTGTGGGGTGCTGGTTATGAAACCGTTTGAGGGGAACATACCGAATTCTCTTTATTTCAAGGTTGAAATTGTAACATGTCGGAGTGGCGTATAGTTGTTCAGCTGCTGTATTAGAAAATACAGTATGATAACGTGATGGCCATTCCGTTCAACTTATTTCACGAAAAATATTTTTGTCAAAAGAGAAAAATGCATTCGTATTCACGTTTTTCTGAATTCAGTAGCTGAATATTCTAATCAAAGAACATTTACTGTGGAATGAGATGGCTGATCGATGCAGTAAAAAATAGCATACAATGCGCAGACATATCTGAATGTACTAGATGGTGTCCAGCATGGGTCTCCACGTATTCACTCCGTGATGAAAAACCATCAATTCAAACTCATGAGATCTCAAAACTTTCTCATGAGGTTGTCCGAATATCCTATGAGGAAATCCTCATGATGTAATCATCATGAAGTACTTTACAAGGTCTCATGTGTAAACAAGACCGGTTGCCTGCCCGATTTTATGGAAATCTTGGGGATGCACTTCTCCATAAAGCCTTGCAATAACGTCTTGAACCCCTCCCCCCATTGCTCCTCTACCGTTAACTCGCGGAACCGCACCTCCCAGTCGATGCCTGAAACGCATTTGCTTCGTCTCCCGAAATCAACCTTCTTACACTTAGAGAAATCAGTAAATCGAGATGAAATACTTCTCTCAATTTTCGCGGTTCGATTTATTTTTCCCAAGAGAAAAAGACATCAACTGGGTTTTCGATGTAGATCTCTCGCTTCCCGACCGTGCAGAGTCGCCTGAAAAGCGTTCGCAAAATCAAAATGCGTCTATAGCCGAGTCGGAAGGGTGTTTTGAGTGTCCTTGCATCATCTAGACACATGTTAACCTCCGTAATTTCACTTCATCGTGAAGAGG